AGCGGCTAGCGGAGAACCCTCTCCGCCCATCAGACAACCCTGAAGGGTGCACATTCATTAAGTAAACATGGCTAATAATCGTATTACCTGAGGCAACATTTCCTTTGCGGCTGATGGATCTGTGGGGACTATACGGAGACTCTGACCCTGCATTAACATGGAGGAATAACGGACACTGGACACAAGCCTCATTTCCTACCAGTGACTGATACCAGAAGACACATAAGTCCAAATAAACTCCTGGCCAACAAGTACCTCAGCTTTTCAGCAATCACTGTGGAACACGAGGAACTTGGCTACAGCTGGGTCACCAGCTGACCCAGCACTGCTGCTGGAGTACTTAAGCGGCTGCTACTCATATATAACTAGAATCGTAGCAGAGCACTAGATACCCTTTATGTCAACATGTCACTCTCAGTGTCATTCTCAGTATTATTTTTAGTTTATTAAGGTTGATTTTGTTTCTGCAGATCCACACGACAAAAATTTGGAAATCACTTAATGAATGAGCACACATGTATACTTTAGCCGGCTGCCCCAGCGACTCACTGCCCCCTGGTGGTTAACTTCAATCAGCTAGAGAAACCTGGATCTGATATTTCGCATAAGCCTGTAACTAAATAACCATACATCCACTGCTCAACTAAGCATGCATAGAATAGCTATAAAAGTGTTACTCATTAGCACTAAGCTTGTTATATTGTTTTAGTCTGCATGATATATAATTTAAAAATGTGCAACGCATGCAAATGCCATAACCCTGTACATCTTGTTATCTCTCTGTTTGCTGCAGCTGTTGTGACGCATCAAGCAATGTTATATCTTTGCACGCAATAAATAAAGAATTAAAAAAAAAAAAAAAAACAACTCTCAAACAGATGGTACCCAACAACACCTAAACGTTTCACGAAAATTTTCCCAGAGTAATCAGATAGATGCTGGAAATGCAAAGTTAAACGACCACTATACACACCCAGACCACTTCAGCTTAATGAAGTGATCTGGGTGCCAGGTCCATCTAGGATTAACCCCGCCTGCTGTAAACATAGCAGTTTTAGAGAAACTGCTATGTTTACATATGGGTTAATCCAGCCTCTAGTGGCTGTCTCATTGACAGCCGCTCGAGGCTTCCATGCTTCTCACTGATTTTTACAGTGAGAAGATGCTTGCGTCCATAGCAAAGCATTGAGAATGTTTTCCTATGACACTGGCTGAATGCGCGCGCGGCTCTTGCCGCGCATGCGGTCAAGAGGGAGGAGAGTCCCCGGCGCCGAGGGAGCTGGAGCAAGGTAAGGGATTAACCCCTTCCTCCCCCTAGAGCCCGACAGGAGTGGGACCCTGAGGGTGGGGGGAACCTAAAGACCATATAGTGCCAGGAAAACGAGTCTGTTTTCCTGGCACTATAGTGGTCCTTTAATGAAGGCAATTTGATCCATGTATGGTTGCAATGCACACCTATAAATACATTTTGGAAAGATGTAATCAATGTTATATATCAAATAACAGAAATGAAATAAGTTTTAAAACCTGAAGTGGTCCTGTTAAACCTGAACTGGCCAGAAATGTTAACGTTACATATCATCACGGCAGCTAAATTACTTTTAGCACGAACCTGGTAAACAGGGACAATTCCATTTCACCCAAGAATTAATCACACAAGTCATAAGCCATGCAAAAATGGAAAGGGGTATCTTGGTGAACCTAGGAAACAGATATACTCAAATAGAAGACTGGGATACATGGATAAACAAAATGGAAATGTCTACCTAATAAACAGCACTATAGTGTCCAAGTTCCTCTCCGACCCCACTCCTTCCCGGATTCCTTTATTTACTTTTTTCCTCTTTTATTATTTTTTTCTTCTCTCTGTATATAGTGTGTAATAATTAACGGGGGTATAATTCACATCCACCTACAGAGAGGGGAGGAGACGAGGAATCTAGATGAACATATAGAATTTCTCAAGACGGGCAGATAAACAGAATAAAAATTATTTATAATATAAAGGATGTAAGATGAGCGCTCTATCTCCAAAGCAAGTAGGGAAATCAAGATTGATAGACACGAATTCACACTAGGATTTCATAGGATATCAGGGTGTCAGGATTACTAATTGATCCAGCACGCAGAATAGTATCACACCTAGGAATAAGGATAATATCTAACCGGACCTTAGAATGGCCGGACTTAACGTATCCAAGAATAGTCAGAATACTTGCCGAGGTCAGAGATACAGAATGAGAAAAAGACAAAATTCAAGGATACCAGAAATCAGGGAAGTCAGAATGAAGCCAAAAGTCAAATACCAAAATATCAAGATCAGGAATGCACTCTTGGATTACCATCAGGCAGAAACCACGACAGGGCAATGAGAGAATGTAAAATTTTGTTTAAATAACCCTCCTGTTATTCTGATTGGCTGTAATCGGCATTTGACCCCAAAACATGCCCGTGCGTGACATCTCACGCACGCCGACGTAGTCCTCAACGTGGGTGGCCATGGGGCTATAAAGTGGCATAGATTCACAGTGGGCATGCTGGGTTTATCAGGTATCCGGGCGCATGGTTGCAGATGGGCACAACTATTCCTGTCAGGGCGGTAAATACCATCATAAACATTTCTATGTGCGTATGAATCCGTTACACAGGGTAGGATACGGGGAGTTTAAAATAAAATAAAAGTTAAAAACATTAAAGCTCACCTTGCATGCACATTTGAGCTCACTGTCAGTGTTACTGTTACACACAGACACAAGCACACTGCAGACAAGCTCACTGACACACAAAGATCTACAACTACAAGCATATTACACACAAGCATGAGGACACTAATGCTTCACTAGAGGACAGGTCATCAATTTTTATGTTCTCACAGTAAGCAGGTTGTGTTGCAGACAGGTGACTGTCTAAGTGCTATATTAATTTAATGTAGATTCTGAAAGAACACTTATCAATATAATACAAAAAGTGACTCAATTTTAAAGTCTTTATAAAGGAGTTCAGTCTCATCACATATTGTTCACTGAGCAACAGAATAAAAGGGTAAATTACGGTCTCTGGCATAATACAGAATACAGAACCTAGAATACGATGTCCTTATTTGTAATGTTGCTGCGATCAAATGTTATAAAGTAAAGTAACTAAAAAAGGGAAATCACACAAACCCAAAACATGCATCTCTTAAAAATAGCAAATACTCCATACCACAACAACTTTCAGATCATAGCACTTAAAGATACAGAAAAGTAATAACATGGCTGACTTTTATAATGTTATGGAGTTAAGGCAGAATTCTCTTTGGATTTTCCGATTTTACTGCATTTTTTTTCCTCTTTGCCACACACACACACTACAGATTAATGGTAAAGTTCTGAAACTATTAGGCAACCTTCAGAACTCCAAATGTTATGGACTACATCTCTCATAATGCTCTTACAGCCATAATGGTGGAAAAGCATCAGCAAAGTTTTAGAGTTCCCTGTTCTAGAATGTTTGTAGTAACGACATTCAGCATTTTAACACTCAGTATGAAGACGCTGAAGGCTCCTTTTATAGAGATGCATTGGGTCAATGCTTCTCTACAAGGAGATGCTGATTGGTGCAGCGATTTTTGCCTTGTGTAGTAGCCTTTCTATACTTCCCTATGGTAATAATTCTCAGCCAGTAGAGGAGCTGTGGTTGCTGCGAGACTGGCGTATATAGGGTAAGTTAGTACGTTCATTTGAATACGTCTGGAGGAGAGGGCTTCATCTAAATAGATAACATAACACCAACGTTACAAATATAAATTTTAGAACTTTCGTACTTGCAAAGCTGAGCAACGACTCTTCTAGGTTATGCGATCCAACTTTAAACTCCTGTCCGTCAGCAGATGTACAAGATATCTACTTTATCTTCAGACACAGTTTCACAGCTTCTATCTTTTTGTGTACATCAGTATTATCAAATGGTAAAATTCAAAGAGCAGGCAAGTTTATTACCCAAAACAGGAATAGTGTTGTTCGTTCTCCACAATAGCAATTCTTAAGAGCATATAGCTAGTGGTCTGGGCAGAGACCACTGCAATAGCGAGAGAGGAGATAGAGAGAGATATATCGCCAACCTTTTCCACAGCACTTTACAATAAGAGTGGAATTTACCAAATGAGACAATAAACAAAATGTAACAGGAACAGTAGGTAGTTGAGGACTCTGCTCAAACGAGCTTACAGTCTAGAGGAGGTGGGGTATAAAAGCACAATAGGAAGGGTATTGAGGGAGACTGCAAGTAGACATGGTGGGAAAGTAGCAGAGCTGGAGGTGAGAGTGGAATGTGGCCCTATAGGAGAGAGCGAGAGGAAGGTTTGAGAGATAGAAGTTACTCATGGAAGCCATAAGCAATCCTGAAAAGATGGGTTTTGAGGGACTTCTTAAAGGATTGAAGACTAGGGGAGAGTCTGTCAAGGGTAGGAAGGCTGTTCCAAAGGAATGTTGCGTCCATGAGAAGTTCTGCAGGCGTGAATTTGCAGCAAGGGTGCGAGCAGCAGACAGGAGAAGATCACCAGTAGAGCGGAGAGACCGAGAGGGGGCATACCTATGAATCAGTAAAGAAATGTAAGAGGGGCTAGAGTTAGAGCTTTATAGGCAAGGGTTAGTATTTTAAATTACACCTGTAGGGTACAGGAAGCCAGTGTAAGGATTGACAGAGGGGTGAGGTGTGAGGAGCGACAGGAGAGCAAGATCAGCCTGGCAGCAGCATTCACCACAGATTGTAGGGGGGCCATTACGGCTTACAGAAAATTAGTTTTGCATCGATTTTGAAACATTACCTTTAGATTTACATTGAAAAGAATGAATTGCTTAAAAAGAACCTGAAGCGTACCTTTAAGCTTGGTGCATTTCCTCAACCTAGTCAGTCACAGATACGTTTTAAACATATTTACTTAAAACATCAAGCGAGAGAAATAACTATTTTAAAAACACTTTATTTAAAAGACACAAAGATTGTGTAGTGAATTAGTCATGTGATACTACAGGATGCAAGTGCAGGAATAAATATGGTGCAATATGTATTCATTAACAAAACATTAATATCTTCAGGGGAAAAGAAAAAACACAGCAATGTGCATGTAAAGGATAGCGATAAAGTGATCTAATTCAGTGGACAATACTTATATAGACCAGAACCCAGCTATTGGAGGGTTAGGATTAAGAAAATAATGAATAAATTGTGTGTGTTAACATGTGGTCTGTATGCTCTAAAGATAGTACAACTTTCACAAGATTAACCAATGGTTACATAGAGCAGTCCACAAACTGGTCCAGCAGGTCTGCACGCAGGTGGGGTGTAGTAAAAGTTTTAGACCAACATCCACGGTCACGATTGGAAGGACACGAGCGTCTTAAGTGTTGGGCAGCGCGTTTATGGCTCGAGAAGGACAAGGAGTTTTTGTCATGACAAGATAGACGTCTGTACTCAGAGAAACACTCTTTACAAGGTTGGGTGTCCCTTGACCTGCTCCTTGAAATATGTTCTTGATTCAGAGTTTCTCTTGACCGACTTGTGCGGCTAGATCTAGGCTGGCGAGTCTTCCTTGAGCTGCTTCTATCGCCATGTTTATGGTAATAAAGCTCGTTTTCCTGGGCAGTGAAGTCAATTTCTGGAGGAATGTTCTCCTTTAACTCCTCTCTATGCCGCAGGTTAAGACCTTCCATGTAGCCCTCTCCAGGATGAAAAGTATCTCTGGAATGATTTCTACATATTTCAATTGCTCCATGTGAATTCTCGTTACCCAGCCAAAAATGGACACCATCTCTGTGATCAGTCATGTACAACTGTGGGATACCACTGTAATGTGTGATATCTTCATCACATTGGTGATGTTCTTCAGAATGCGTTTGGGTTCGAACTTGTGATGCTTTACACGGAGCATGTGTTGGTACTGCTTTGTAGTCATCCCTGGGGGAGGATATCCTTTCAAATGGAGGTGAATCCTCTGAATACAGAGAATCTGTCTCACAACTGGTTCTAGTTCTCTCACATGCCATATTAAATGTCTTGGAATTCTCTTGGCAAAATACAGATGGTGTTCCCTCGTAGAGTTGCTCTCGCAGAGAGTTCTTCATCTCACGCCTTCTGTGTTTGGATGATGCCCTACAAGATGTAGACAGACATATTAAGTCAACATTTTAATATCACATCACCTATTATTGAATCTCCCAGTATATGGTTTCCCCACAAAGTAAGATCACAGAGATCCAGGACTTATTTTATTTAACTGCTTGTTAAAGCTACATGAATAATAGGATAAGGAGACAGTGCCCATAGACCCCCAGAACAATATAAATTCTACTCATCTGTCGTAGTTTTGGCGCATAGAGTGCCCATTAAATATATTTTATTAAAATACTTTAGATTGTAAGCTCAGATGGTTCTGTATAAAAAGGGCTTCAGCTCACATACATTGTCTTTACTTTTTGTATTGGTCGGTTTATGTTTTACTGTCGCCCACCCCCACCTCCCTTCCCATGGGTCAGGGGGTCACAAACACTAGCTTTGACAATGCTCACAGATGGATTCAACTAGGATTTAAGTTTGTGTCCTTACACTCACTAAAACTAAAATTACCCCTTCTCCCACATTAATAACTGAATTTTACATGTGCACTGGGCAAGATAAGTAAATAAAATCCTTTTTTGTAACCCTTTTTTTCTTCTTTTTCAAGATGACTAATTGGTCTTATTTTGGGAATTAAATCAATGGTAAAGAAATGATGCAAAGAAATATTAAAGAACAATAAAAAAAAATCAGAAAGGATTATTTCTAGGCATTACATAAGAACAGTCACAAGTGTATAAAGCTTATAGTAACAGTTACACGTAACAAAATAGAGCGTGTGCACAAAAGCTGATGCAAATGCATAAATTTTTGTAAATCACCCCAATATCTTCCAACACTGGTCATGCTTTTACCTTCCAGTAGAGGCTATTCCCAAGACCCGGTAAAGATCCTCGGAGCTTGGCATGTCTGGGTCCACATGATGACGTGGCACAGACAAAGGGGTTGGTCTAGGGCAAAGGTAGGGAGTCATGCTGAATTTGACTGGCTTTGCTGATCGGGGTCTGATGCGTGGCCCTGGTGCTTAAGGGAAAAAAAAAAATCAAATTAGATGAACCAGACAAGCGTATGCAAGTCTCCAAGAGGGAAAAAAAATCGTATTTCTACTCACATTCACTCATTGAGGACAAGCTGTCACTCCTGGTCTCATCTGCTTCAGAATCACTTTTCCGATATCTTCGTTCGCGTCTTTGGGACATCAATACAGACCTTAGAAAGAAGAAGGTTAACCCTAGTATTTATTTAAGTCCACAAAACTACTGGAACTTTATTTTTTTAACTATTAATAAAAATTTTACTCAACTTGATTTAGTCAAATTTGATTAAACACATGCATATACCTTTCAATAATTGGCAGGTGTGTAATCAGGACATGTGGTTGGGCTTTCTAGGGGGCTTTTTTTTAGTGATGCAACTTGTGTCGCTGGTAACACCCACAATGTGCTGCCCTGTGTGGGTAACGCGAGTGCTTTCCCACTGAAGGGGGCATGTCAGCCTGGCGTCGAGCATGCCAAGACAACAAACTGCTTCCCGGCTGACTCTCTGCTTGCACAAGCATGCAGCTGAAGTGCTCTCTGAAGTTGCAGAACTTGTTTCTCTGGTGTTCCTGGATGCTTAAAGAGGGGCTGCTGGGAGCCATGCAAACATAGTGTGGATGTTCTTATTCTATATGTGAGAATTATGTAAAAACTAACTAGTTTAACTTGGTCAAATAGTATCTCAATAAATTAGAAACTAGTCACTTTAGAATTTAAGAACCAATTTAATTAAAATACTTCTCAAAATAGATCTGTAGAAAAAAAGACAAAAAAAACAGTCATTATAATGTAACAGAAAGGAGCTGTATAAATACAGATATTACTAGGATCCCACCCCAGAGGGGGCAGCGCTGTGTATAATGTAATAGAAAGGAGCTGTATAAATACAGATATTACTAGGATCCCACCCCAGAGGGGGCTGCGCTGTGTATAATGTAATAGAAAGGGGCTGTATAAATACAGATATTACTAGGATCCCACCCCAGAGGGGGCTGCGCTGTGTATAATGTAATAGAAAGGAGCTGTATAAATACAGATATTACTAGGATCCCACCCCAGAGGGGGCTGCGCTGTGTATAATGTAATAGAAAGGAGCTGTATAAATACAGATATTACTAGGATCCCACCCCAGAGGGGGCTATGCTGTGTATAATGTAATAGAAAGGAGCTGTATAAATACAGATATTACTAGGATCCCACCCCAGAGGGGGCTGCGCTGTGTATAATGTAATAGAAAGGAGCTGTATGAATACAGATATTACTAGGATCCCACCCCAGAGGGGGCTGCGCTGTGTATAATGTAATAGAAAGGAGCTGTATAAATACAGATATTACTAGGATCCCACCCCAGAGGGGGCTGCGCTGTGTATAATGTAAAAGAAAGGAGCTGTATAAATACAGATATTACTAGGATCCCACCACAGAGGGGGCTGCACTGTGTATAATGTAATAGAAAGGAGCTGTATAAATCCAGATATTACTAGGATCCCACCCCAGAGGGGGCTGTGCTGTGTATAATGTAATAGAAAGGAGCTGTATAAATACAGATATTACTAGGATCCCACCCCAGAGGGGACTGCGCTGTGTATAATATAATAGAAAGGAGCTGTATAAATACAGATATTACTAGGATCCCACCCCAGAGGGGGCCGCGCTGTGTATAATGTAATAGAAAGGAGCTGTATAAATACAGATATTACTAGGATCCCACCCCAGAGGGGGCTGCGCTGTGTAGAAATACCTGCTGGGAGGAGCCAGTCTCAGTACTCGGTAGAGCTCTGCAGTGGAGGGCGTGACAGGGTCACCCCTTTTGCGCCGGGAGTTGCTGACACAGGACCAGTTGGGGGTGAAGTTCTTAAAGATCTGAGAAGTTGCCCTGGGTGTACCAGGAGCTGAAGAAAAGAAAACCAGTCAGTCATTCATTGCGTAATGCTCAGATATTGAATAGGTTTAAAGGGTAGAGACAACCGGAGTGAGCATAAGGCTCAGGTAGTGCGAGTAACAAGGAATTTTTGTGTTATTAAAAACAGGAAAAAAATATATATATTTAATTTTATTTTCAAAACGTACAAAATGATGAGCATTTTGATGAGCATTTTCCTTTAACAAGGCTTAAAATGTACAGTCCTGCGCTACTAGCCAGACCAGGTTACTCACCACGGCAAATCTGGATGGTCCATGGCACACTCACCAGGGGCGAATTTCTACATGCTATTGGAGTGTGGAAATTTTGAGTCATGTCCAATGTATCTAAAATGGTGGCTTGGACGGTATGGCATTCTACTCTGCACAACCAGTATTCTTATAATCGAACCAAAGAAAATTTGCTTCTCAATGCCAATTCTGGGATAAAGTTTAAAGGTTTGTTTTTTTCTGTGCAGACCTAATGAAAGATTAGGATCTAAGCATATAGCACATTAAACAATTTCAGATACAATTCTGGTAAATGGATCTATTTTTTTTCAACTTTCCATTCCTCTTTAAATCAGATGTTAAAAATCAACTCAAGGTGTAGAGGAATTTCTGGATCTCACATCTCACATCTCTACACCATATGGACCTTAGATTCTCATGGAGCTTGGAGGTATGAATTACACCTTAAATTCACTTTACCAAAGCCTGCAAAGATTGTTCTTCCCTTTCATTAGAAATATTTTTGTGGTTGAGGTTCTGGACACAAGTCAAAAAGGAAGAGTCTATCCAAAGACTGCAACTAGATTATGAAAGCTGACTTGAGTACATATGAAGACACAGATGCCACCACCCACCAATAGCTGGTTACAATGGATGTAGACACTAACCTGCTGAAGACCAGGGTGGGGTCTTTTTCCACGATGGAGTTTCCAGCCCTGGTGTCATAGTCAGGAATTGCTGCTTCACAAAGAGAGCCTGGTCGGCCTTAAACTGGAGACGCTATGGAGCAAGAGTCAGAGGTTATTGGCAATTCTAGAATTGGAAATCAGCAGAGTTAATCAAATTTGTACGGTTACCTCTCGTCCCAGGCGAATTGCAGCCTCTGTGAACTTCTCTCGCTCATACTGAAAGGCCCGTTTTTGATCCTCAAAGATCGCTCTGTCCTGCTGTAGCCTTAGCTGCTCCTCCAAGAAATAAGCATCCCACAAAGGGGAGACCTGACCCTCACCAGGCTTGGGCAACATCTGCTCCTGTCAGCAACACAAAATGGCTGCAGGTTATCCCAACAAGGAATAGCCTTGCCCATACCGTGGGGAAGATTTAGAGCGTTATTCACTAAAGTGTGGCTTGTCAGTAATTGAAAATTAATTTCAAATTCGTGGACAAAATAGCAGAACTGGAAATGTTGCCAAGTCAGCAATACTTGGGCATTAATTTTTAATCTACTCCAATTCACACGTCACAATTAATTTCACATTTTGGACCACACTAGCAAAGATGGAAAAATACTCCAAGTGGGTCATGTTAGCAGATTGGCTGTTTTGGCCTAAAACGTTAAATTCACTTGGAATTTTGGAAAATTCACACTTTATTGAATATTCTTGGTCATGTGTAACTCGTACCAACCTAGCTACAACATTCTTATATCAGGATAACCTAAATATTACACATATATCAAAACATGAGGTCCAAAATATTACTACAAGTCATTATTCTAGCATTAATGTTACACATTCCTGGTCACCCCACCCCTGTCCCATATCTCCCCACCCACCCAAACACCCACAATTATACTTTTTAAATATAAAATGTTGACCCTCTCGTGTCCATTTACCACTTGAACCCTCAATGGCTTCAGAACTTAAAACGTGTTATCACACACCCTCATTTATGATTTGGTCAAACGCTTTACAATGTCATATAAACAAACAATATGCCAAGGGAGAGCCATACATTCATAAACCAGTGCTGTGCATCAAATGGATACTTGGAAAAAGTCTAGATTTTGCAACAGAGCCACCTTTATTTATCCGTTCCACTAACCCTACCACACTTTCCCTTTTCCTTCACTGGCATTGCGGTGCTTATATTCCCCTAAGACACCCATTGTAATCAGTATTATGTCATTTTTGCATCAGACAGGTCATTGTTTTTATTCTTACAGCTTTACGATTATCTATTGGAGAAAGAGAAAAAATATATATATTTTTCCTAAAAAGATGGTCTATGCCTTTTGTCCTATCCATTTATATTCCTTGAATTTAGTCTTGTTCTCGTAGTACAGCAGTGAATGGATCCTTATTTGGTATCTTTGTGGTTGAACACCCAAAAGGATCTCATTTACATTCTATGGATGCACTGTTAAACAATAGACCACACATACATTTGGCACAGTTAGTTATTGAGTTGGAGTCATCGTGAACCATCAGCGCTCCAGCAATTTTGAAAAATATTTACTACGATGCTAAGAATGCCAAATCATTCCAATCAGATTGATCATTTTGAGCCAAGCATAATACTCTGTATTAAGCCTTATCCCCTGGTGTGTCAACATTCACCAACTGCAGGTTCCCCGTCCAATCTTTCACGCATTGCATATTCCTCACAGCGGGCCGGTCCAGTCACCATACCTGCAATAGTTCCTGCTGTTGACTGATCAGTTCTCTGCTCTTCTCCAATTCTTTCCGAAGTTCCTCCATTTCCTTCCTCATGCTAGTCAGTTCCTTCTCATGATCCGTCACACTAATCACATGGGTCACGTTCGCCTGTGATGCTGGGGAGATAAAATGGAAGGTGTAGTGATGTGGCTACCAATTGTTAGAGTTAAAAAAAAAAAATTTTTATCTCAAATCTGGCAATACGTAAAAAAAAATAACATTTTAGAAATCCAATAAGGACAAACTCACTGAACTAACGTGGCACATAGTTAGTTCATTGAAAAAAATAAAGAAGATTAATTCTTGCAGTTATTCTAAAATTACACCTTGTTACACACAAAGATCTTAAACCTCATGGATAGCTAGCAAGTTTACTTACATAAACATTAATGGCACACAATGGCTTTCCCCTGTTAAAGCAAAAAGGCTAAAATGAAGTTGCCTTGAAAGTTTCTCTCATTTAAAGGACTAGTTTGGGCATCATAACATCATCAACATGAAGACATTCTGGTACCTGGCTCTTGCGCACCTTTAGTGACTAAACCATTCATGAACGGTTTGTGACTAGAGCAATCTCGCCACATTGCATTGGAGAAGCCTGGTTGCTCGCCTGCTGCCTTTGGACTATGGCCCCATGTTAAAAGACATCTTTTTCCCTGCAGAAAAGACTTATTCGTGCTTTTCTGCCTGGTGTTCGGTAGATTCAATCTACCAAACAACCACACGAATGACTAGACCACCTGGGAGCTGGAGTGTGCCAGCAATTAGCCTCCCTGAAGCTGCGGTTAACCGCAGCTTAATTGACGAATGCTGGGTGGCCGCCATTCGTATCACGAACACGAGGTCGCGGCCATTTTAAACATGGAACTAAAAACGGACACAGTTTTGCACGAACACTGCTGAAGCCGCCGACCTCCTTTCTTGTTCGGTGAAAGTGCACGAACGGCCCGGTGTTCGGTAGTTTGACTTGACTATGTTATACCCCAGATAGGAATCCCATGGAGCCCATTCGCATGAGAACTGACTGTGTAAAGACTTTGGCTCCATGGCGATTACACTGTATTTCGTGTGGTCTGAGCGCCATTCGCTTAATAATGTGCGCTCAGACCTGAGCTATCTGGGGACATGTTAAATGTATAGTTTTATTGTAATGTGTCTCACATAGTGTATTTTAATAGTAATTCATGTTTTAGTATCCCCACGTGCATAATGGCGATTTGCCTTTGTTTGGGAGATAATTGAATTACTTCTCAATTATCTCCAAGGCAGAGGGGAGGAAGCCAGGATGCATTGTGGGAATATAATGTGACTGTGTGTCCTGTTTGGCTGATTGTCTGTCTTTTGTCACAGTCTCCCATTTGGTCCCCTAGGGGAGTGTCCACCAGGTGGGAGACCTGCATAAATACTGGGCAGGTAGCCCTCATTAAAACAGACCACTGCTTGACCCTCAACACGGAGCCTTGTCTCGTCTTTGGGGGGATTTACTGAATGCTGATAGAGACTAATTGCTAGGAGTGTAAGCCACTTGGATGCTTTTCCTATTCGTCTGCTAGCAGTGATTCGTATGGTTCCAGTTCGTGTGTTTGGAGTGCTATATTGTATGCCGTTCGGGAGTTTGGAGCATTCCCTTATTTGCAGTTCGAGAGTTTGGTGTTCTACAATAGCTGTGCCTGCATCTCTGGAAAGGGGGACAATCGCCTAAACGATTTTTACCCCCTTGTGTGCAAAACGGTCCATTACACGGTTCATTTGTGCTCCAGCACCAGATCGCTCTGCCCCCTAGTCCTTCCACATAACAGAAGGATCAGGCAGCACTGGGCTGGGGAGCAAACTAAAGCAGTCAGCTGACGCTCTGGGTCAATCAGTGGAGCCCCTGCCTGAACCTTCAGTTATCTTGAATTTCAGAAACTGGAAGAACAGGGAGGTAGAGTGGAACAGCGCCGGAGCACAGACTTTGGGATTAAACCATTAATTTAAACTTTTTACCACCTATAGATGTGCCAGTGCTGGCACCATAACAACATAATTTTCATGAAGTCCTTTAAGTGTGCCTTAGTCCACAAATGTTGGGAACTGCTGCTCTAAAAGGCATCATCTACAACATAGGTGTCCAACCTTTTGGCTTCCCTGGGCCGCATTGAGAGGAATTATATTATGCGTCTTGGGCCGTATATAAAAATCTAATTTATATAAGAAAACTTCAAAAGCCTTTTTTTTTTTTTTTACATTTGATTAGTAGATATCTACCTTATTTGTTTTCCTTATGTGGGATTGCAATATTTAAGGATATCAAATTAGGGAGCTATCTACTAAACCCATAGACATGTATATACCAATGCACACACAATCACACACACAAAGTCACAGATACACAAAATTAGATACAGACATACATTCACAGACCCACACACAGTCACAAATAAACACGCACACTTACATGCACAATCACAGACCTATACACACCGTTTACAATTGCAAACCTATACACATTGGATCAAAACCCCACACAATCACAGATATACAAACACAATCACAGACATACACACAGATCTCCCCCCACTACACACACACAATCACTGACCAAACATACACAAAAATTTACATTCATACATTCAGTGCTTAAGAGGTCGACCCAGCCACCCTACCTTGCTCTGGGAGAGCTGGAATCTATCCTCTATCCCTGGTGGCTAGCAGTTGCTGCTGGCTATATGAGAAAAGGTAACTAGACTAAGTTTTCCAGTAGGTGGCAGCAGTGGACAATACTAAACTTTTCAACTTTTAAAGCAGTGGTGAGCAATATGGGCACATTCTATGGTCTCCATGGTGATTGTTTTTTTTTTTTATAGAACACTGAAGATTACAGGGTCTCTGAACATGGCTGGGCCCGTCTCACCTTGAACTTCCAGAGATTCTAACAGCTGCTTCAAGCTGGTCCACTGCTTCTTAAGGCTTCCAGTGAAACCTTGGTCGACCATACGGGATGACCTTCCACGCCCGGCCCCAGCCCGCTTACCAACCACAACAGAGTCCTATTAAAACACAGAGACTTGTTCTACCAAGTTCTAAGAATAAATTACATGGAACATGGGATATGTAAAATGGCATCTCTCACCTCCACTGAGACACGGCTATTTGCAAGATCATGCCTGCTTAGAATGCTCCGCAACTCCCTCTTCATCTGTTCATGGAATTTCTTCAGCTCTCCATTCTCAGCTATGAGATCGCGCAACTGCTTGTCCACACTCCCTGATCGGTGCATATCCACAGACACCGCTGCAACCAGATATCACTGCAAGGAGAACAGTTACATTCTTCAAATGAAGGCTCGGTTTCGAACGTTCCAATTTAGCATCTTTATAAAATAAATTGCTAATATTGTGTCATTTTATCCTATGCACTTATTAATTGTATTACCCTGTAACATCTTATCACAGTAACCCGGCTCCTTAGTTCCTTATTACACCATAACACCTTATTACAGTAACCCAGCTCCTGAGTGCCTTATTACAGTAACCCGGCTCCTGAGTGCCTTATTACAGTAACCCGGCTCCTGAGTGCCTTATTACCCTGTAACATCTTATTACATTAACCCGGCTCCTGAGTGACTTATTACCTGTAACATCTCATTACATTAACCCGGCTCCTGAGTGCCTTATTACCCCGTAACAAGAAACCCGGCTCCTGAGTGCCTTATTACCCCGTAACAAGAAACCCGGCTCCTGAGTGCCTTATTACCCCGTAACAAGAAACCCGGCTCCTGAGTGCCTTATTACCCCGTAACAAGAAACCCGGCTCCTGAGTGTCTTATTACCCCATAACAAGAAACCCGGCTCCTGAGTGCCTTATTACCACGTAACAAGAAACCGGCTCTAGTGCCTTATTACCCGTAACAAAAACCTGGCTGAGGTGTCTTATTACCCCGTAACAAGAAACCGGCTCCTGAGTGTCTTACCCGTAACAGAAACCCGGCTCCTGTCTTACGTACAGAAACCCACGGCTCCTGAGTGCCTTATTACCCCGTAACAGAAACCCGGCTCCTGAGTCTTATTACATTAAGCCGGCTCCCGAAGGCCTTATTACCAGAAACATTACAACACTAGAGTACAGCAGTTCCACTTCTTTTAACACTTAGAAGCCTCTTGGGCAACTATGTAACATTAAAGGGAGATCTCCACCTGATGTAAAACTACAGCTCCCATGATTCCTTTCCACCCATACTGCTGATGAAGCATTTATAACAACTTGGGATGCACCCTTTGACAACCTCTGTTATAGATGTTTTTGGATGATTTTCAGAGATCACACAGACCAATAAATGACTCCAGTCACAGTACACTCCCAGCTTACCAATTTTTCTCAAACGTTCGATTGTGCACTCTTCGTATCACTATGGAGGCTCTGAATAACACTACTATCAAGAATATGGCAAACTCTTGTGTGAGAGAAAACAGCACAGTTTCCTCCATAGACCATTAGAAAGTCACACCCTCTAACAGGTGCTTTATAAACTAATTGATGAACCAGACCAGGTGCCATTATTTCCTCTGGTCATGTCTTGCAAAAACAATACAGAAATCTGGATTCATGTATATGGGAATCATCACATTAACAAGAAGGAGAGCAGGGGGTGAGCCTTATACTCTAAAGTGTGATTTGTAAGGAATTCAAGAGAATTTAAATTTTCAGGCCAAAATAGATGAATTTGAAAATTCTCCAAGTTAGCCGCATTAGGTTAGGCCAGTTTGACATAGCATCTGACATTCACTCTGAATTCTCAGCAATGCACCCTTTAGGACATAATCATTTTAAAGTGACATTATAGGCACCCAGACCAGTTCAGCTCATTGAAGTGGTCTGGGTGCAGAATACCTATTGCACTTGGTGCTGCAATGTAAAACATTGCGGTTCCACAGAAACTGCCATGTTTACATTGCAGCACTAAGTCTGCCTACCAGACAGCCACTGGAGGCACTTCCTGGATGTTAATGAACTTTTGGTCCAGTAACTGACATTGGACGTCCTCACGCTCTGCATGAGGATAACTAACATCAGCTATTTCCCCATAGGTAAGCATTCATTCCATGCTTTCATATCGGGAGGCCCTAGCACACGCCTATGGCATGGGCATTAGCGCACGCTCTTTGAGGGACATCAGAGGAGATGGAGCTGCGGCCCAGCACCGATGTCCCTCAGCGCTGGGATCAGGTAAGTAAATAATGGGTTTTTAACCCCTTATTCATTGGGAGAGAGAGAGCTGTAGCGCTAGGAATACAGCTTTGTATTCCTGACAATAGTATCCATTTAAAGAAGTGGTTCCCAATCTAGTCCTCAAGTACAGTCCAGGATTTAGGGATTACCCTGTTGTGTCTAAGGTGTTTTTGGAACAACAAGAAAGAAAAGAAAACACTTTAGACACAACAGGGTAATCCCTAAATCATGGACTGTTAGGAGGTACTTGAGGACTAGATTGGGAACCACTTCTTTAACCCCTTAAGGACCAAACTTCTGGAATAAAAGGAAATCATGACATGTCACACATGTCATGTGTCCTTAAGGGGTTAAAGGAAAGAATCTCGGTAGAGAGAGCCTCGGTTGTTGACTGATGGGAATTATTCACTAAGCCAGACATTGTGGACAACTGATGGATCAATAGAAACTGCAGGCCAAACTAGCTGAGCTAGGAACTAACTGAGTTGGAGAAAGTTTTCAATTTATGGACTAATCCCATTTATTGCTTTTTCTACACTTTTAAAGAAGTGTGATTTATATAAGCATATTTAAAGTGATAATGTGTGGAAAATACGTTTATTAGAACTAACAGGTTCATCCCCTGGCCTAAACCATGCATTGCACTAGAAATTGATTAGGTACTTGCATCATGTAAATAGAAATAGAGCAACCGGTGAAGAAGACGTTTTACAGCTTGTGTTGTTGTTGTCTAATATTTGCAATTCCCTTGGAAATCCTCTACAAATCCAATTTTAGTGAATAAATTTATATATATTATTATTTTTGGCATTTATATAACACCAATTTATTCTGCGGTGCTTTACAATATTATAATATTATGAAAAGAGGCAAATTTAACACTAAATTATGCCATTATAAAATGTTAAATACATTTAACACTAAATGATACAAATATATATATATATATATTGCTACTAACAATAATACATAGTAATAATGCCCCCTCCCAATGTAACACTGACATATATGGTCATTTCTATCAGATAATAAGATACATATTCTAGTGAGTCAGGTGCGCTCCCATGATGCACCGCAAGGTCACAAGATGGCGGCGCCCAGTGCGGTTCCCTGTTACCTTGGTAACATGCGGGCGCTGCTAAGCCCCATGTGTAGGCCGCGGGGTGTACCTGCATTTTTGGGGTCCCTAGCCAGATGCAGTCGGTTTGTGGCCCCTCTGTGCTCCCTGCCCCCCGAGTCTCTGCTGAGTCTGTCCTCTCCGGCCCTGGGGAGCCGCCTGACCCCCGGCCTCGGCCTCTGCCCTGAATTCATCTCCCCGGCGGAGGAGGCGGCTCTGTGCCGGGAGCTGGAGCCCATCCTGCGGAGAAAGCGCTACGAGAGCGGCCACTGGGATCAGGTGAGAGCCGGGGACATAATGCTAATCAATATGGAATGATACCGTGTAAACAATGCTAATCAATATGGAATGATACCGTGTAAACAATGCTAATCAATATGGAATAATACCGTGTAAACAATGCTAATCAATATGGAATAATACCGTGTAAACAATGCTAATCAATATGGAATTATACCGTGTAAACAATGCTAATCAATATGGAATAATACCGTGTAAACAATGCTAATCAATATGGAATAATACCGTGTAAACAATGCTAATCAATATGGAATAATACCGTGTAAACAATGCTAATCAATATGGAATAATACCGTGTAAACAATGCTAATCAATATGGAATGATACCGTGTAAACAATGCTAATCAATATGGAATTATACCGTGTAAACAATGCTAATCAATATGGAATTATACCGTGTAAACAATACTAAGCCAATATGGAATTATACCGTGTAACAATACTAATCAATATGGAATTATACAGTACTTAAACAATGCTAATCCAATATGAAATTATACAGTGTAAACAATACTTTAAATCAATATGGAATAATACCCGTGTAAACAATGCTAATCAATATGGAATGATACGTGTAAACAATACTAGTATCAATATGGAATTATACGTGTAAACAATGCTATCAATATGGAATGATACACGTGTAAACAATGCTAATCAATATGGAATTATACCGTGCTAACAATGCTAATCAATATGGAATAATACCCGTGTAAACAATATACTAATCAATATATGGAATAGTACGTACAACAATGCTATCAATATGGAATGATACACGTGTAAACAATGCTAATCAATATGGAATTATACCGTGTAAACAATGCTAATCAATATGGAATAATACCGTGTAAACAATGCTAATCAATATGGAATTATACCATGTAAACAATGCTAATCAATATGGAATGATACCGTGTAAACAATGCTAATCAATATGGAATTATACCGTGTAAACAATGCTAATCAATATGGAATTATACAGTGTAAACAATGCTAATCAATATGGAATAATACAGTATGGAATTATACAGTGTAAACAATGCTAATCAATATGGAATAATACCGTGTAAACAATGCTAATCAATATGGAATTATACAGTGTAAACAATGCTAATCAATATGGAATGATACCGTGTAAACAATGCTAATCAATATGGAATTATACAGTGTAAACAATGCTAATCAATATGGAATTATACCGTGTAAACAGTGCTAATCAATATGGAATTATGCCGTGTAAACAATGCTAATCAATATGGAATAATACAGTGTAAACAATGCTAATCAATATGGAATGATACCGTGTAAACAATGCTAATCAATATGGAATGATACAATGTAAACAATGCTAATCAATATGGAATGATACCGTGTAAACAATGCTAATCAATATGGAATGATACCGTGTAAACAATGCTAATCAATATGGAATGATACCGTGTAAACAATGCTAATCAATATGGAATTATGCCGTGTAAACAATGCTAATCAATATGGAATTATGCCGTGTAAACAATGCTAATCAATATGGAATTATGCCGTGTAAACAATGCTAATCAATATGGAATTATACCGTGTAAACAATGCTAATCAATATGGAATTATACCGTGTAAACAATGCTAATCAATATGGAATAATACAGTGTAAACAATGCTAATCAATATGGAATAATACCGTGTAAACAATGCTAATCAATATGGAATTATACCGTGTAAACAATGCTAATCAATATGGAAATATGCCGTGTAAACAATGCTAATCAATATGGAATAATACCGTGTAAACAATGCTAATCAATATGGAATGATACCGTGTAAACAATGCTAATCAATATGGAATGATACCGTGTAAACAATGCTAATCAATATGGAATGATACCGTGTAAACAATGCTAATCAATATGGAATAATACCGTGTAATCAATATGGCATTATACTATGTAAATATAATGTATCAGGACTATCCAAGAAATCCATCTGTTGTGGGCTGGTGGCAATCCCGGCACATTTTGATTAAAATTTTACTGCTGCTGATCATGAGCAGGTTCCTACAACCAAATCTTGTTAAACTTTAATATTTCTTTTTCGACCCTTTGCAATTTATACTTACTGCTTCCTGTGTCAAATCCCTTATTCCTTCCTATTTACGCTTACTTTCTTTTTGTCGTCGCCTTCTATATTGCATGTTCCCCAAGGCTATACATGGGTTTCGTGAGACTGAGCGCCTGCAATGGTCCCTGGAGAATATGGCAGTGATACAACGGGTGAGAGATAAGGCTTTTCCCCCTGGAGAGGCACAACTATCACTAGTCCATGTTCTGGACCTGCAAAAAGAGGGTTACATCAAGCCGCACGTTGATAGCATTAAGGTAAGAGAGCAAGACTTACCTTGTAACACAAGCATGTCAAACTCAAAGGCTAACACGGGCCAAATAAACAAGATTTAAGTTTATGTGGACTGCAAAAAAAAACACAACAAAAAAAATTCACTTTTTATAGAAACATATGTTTATTTTGAAAAGTACAGTATTAAAAAAAAGTCGCCTGACTTGATGTTCTCACACTTGCATGGCTTTAAAGTAAACAAAAGAGCTAAATTATTTTAAGTAGATGTGCATATAACAAATGTTTCAGTCCAACTACCTTGAAATATTAAGAAAAGTTTGACAATGGGACTGAAATGGTGAATGTATGCTGTTGCACAGCTGTAAAATACAAATTGTTATCTTGTTGATTTTGAAGTCCTATGAGTATGTTCTTCACTTTGGCTGAGATCATCAAACTTGATGATGTAAGCCAATCCAATTATTTCCCGTAGGAAGGCATTGGGAGGCTATTGTGCATGTGTGGCAAAACGCTGCGCGGCCAATCAGCATCTCCATGGGGAGTGTTCAGCACCTCCATGCAGACCCAATTTAATACACTGCCCCTCCTCCATTGTAATACACTGCCACAACTCTCTCCACTCTAATACACTGCCCCTTGATCTAATACACTGCTCCCCCTCACTCCACTCTAATTGAATACACTGACTCTCCCTCCCCCAATTTAATACACCGTTCCTCCCTCCCCCAATTTAATACACTGCCCCTACCTTCCCCAGTTTAATACACTGCCCCTACCTTCCCCAGTTTAATACACTGCCCCTCTTTCCCTACCTTAAGATGAGCCACTGGTCCTCCATTTCCAGCTCTGCCAAAGCAGACCAGACGCTCCTCTGGCACTGGGAGCAGGAGGGAAGGGGGAGTGGCTGGCATACTCTGCAGACAGACAGCCAGGCTGCACACTGTAGCACAGCCACCGGATATGACTTCACATGCTGAATGCACATTTCCGGTGGCCGACGTGGACTAATGCTTAGCGCTCTTGCGGCCATCTGAACAAGCGATTGTCCATGGTAGGGCAGACAGGAAAGATCTTTCCTGTCTTGTGGCTGGTCACAGATAGTCATCTTGGGCCGCAAGTTTAAAATGCTTGTTGGAACACATTGGAAGTAGGTCCCACATACTCTGACAAACTATATAATTAGGAACATCATCCCTAATACTTTCCAACTGGTGCCCATGAATTATACTTTAATCACTTCATAGTTTGTCAATACTGTCTTGGATCTGACTAGATCCTAGTCTGTTGCCAGTCCTAGTCTGTTCAATTTGGCTACTCTGGCCTTAAATTTGAAATTCACTTTGAATTCTCACTTTAGTAAATAACCCTGTGTGTGTTTGAAGTAGAGATCGACCGATTATCGGTCTGGCCGATATTTTGTATTTTCAGCAATATCGGTATCGGCCCCTGTGGGGCCCAGCACACTCTTACTTACTTTCCCAGCAGCTCCCTTAAGCCCCCCGTCTAACTCACGAGTCCCGCGGCCGTCAGAGCGTTGCCACGGATTACCGTGGCAACGCTCCGTGCGGCACACAGGCAGTGGAAGTTAGACAGAGGAGCTGAAGAGAGCTGCTGGGAAGGTAAGTAAGAGTGTGCTGGGCCCCCTCTGCACAGTCCATGCTACCGGACCACCAGGAATGCCATATACCCCCTCCCTAGCCATGTAAAAAGCAGGGAGGGGGACTAAAACATAATTTTGAAAAATGTAATATATAAAAAAAGAAGTCTTCTCCCCGTCCCTCTCCCCCATTGTGTGTGTGTACACACACACACACACACACACACACACACACACACACACACACAAGATTTGTGTACAAATATTTTTTTTTTTTAAATGGTAAAAGAACAGAGTATCGGTAAGTTATCGGCTATCGGTCTGAAAGTTCACAGATTATCGGTATCGGCTCTAAAAAATCAATATTGGTCGACCCCTAGTTTGAAGCTGTTGAATATCTTATATAAAGCTGTTATTTCTTCTTTGCTTTTACTGTCAATGTTTTAAAGTGACATAAAGGTGCGCCTGGTGATGTTTCATTTTGATCACAATCTTCATACATACGTAAGAGTAAATTTTGCTTTTCCTTTTTCCTATGCCAGTTCTGCGGTAGCACCATTGCCGGAATATGCCTGTTATCCAGCAGTATCATGCGCCTGGTCTCCGTAGAAAACGCTGATGAGAGAGCAGACCTACTGCTCCCTAGACGTTGCCTGTATATGCTTAGGTAAGTGGCACACACTGCCCTCACTGTTGGATTGTACATCTCTGTGGAATATGTTTGGGCTTTATGAATAAACATATGTTTATAGGTTAAAAGAACAATACTAAATGTTTTTCACGTGATCTTGAAAAAAAAAAAAATAAGTTGTGGTTAACTTTGGAACTGCGTAAATCAATCCATTCCAAGGCTGATTGAGCATTTCAGGAATTGTAGATTGCATATTTCTCTTCTGCCAAGCATTTCATTAAGAAAATTCTGTACTTAAAATTGCACTTATAAAGCATGTACTGAATTCTCTCTGTGATGTATCTTACAATTGGCTAGGTCTCTCGTATATCCTGTTTTGACCAGAGGAGCCTTGCGTGTTAAGGGGAAAAATGTTAATTTCCCTCCCACTTAAAAATGCTTTTTATTATTTTGTCAGACCCCAAATTCCTTTTTATTTTAAATTCACTTGGGGGAAGACGTACATTTTTCCTCTGGAATGAAGCAACCACATGACTATTTTTGTTTTTTGGATTTTCTTTCTTTTTTTTACTTTTGTAGAATTTTTGAGGCAGGGTTGTAGTCCATAAAAGGCATAGGATGTCTGTGTAGGCATCCATAAATTAAAGGCCTACTGCATTAAGACCTCTGTGAAGTTTAAGTCAACATTTCTGGAGTCTGACCAAGGCTCATTAAAATACTGTTCACTGTCACAGGACTGACTCATGATAAGAAAGCTGTGAGCTTTCTGAAACGTCACTCTCTCAAATAGCCACAATCGATTCTTAGATGCAATAGAGTGTGGGTAACTTGCTGCGGTTCAATGGCTGCTGATGTCAACAAAGAAAATATGTGTCTGATATCCTTTCCAGACTCATGGTACTAGGCTCATGAGGCCATTTATTATGTTCCCTATTGAAAAGCATCAGTCTGGCTCCTGCTTAGGAGATGTTCCTATTCTGAGGAATTTGACCGTGTCTGATTTGTTGCTTTCTGGACACATAAATCACTTGTTTGATACATGGGGTTAGATGTTTTCGCTGGTAATATTATCCTACCCTACTTTTAGTGTAGCAATACTTAACCTCTAACTCTCCTGCAATATTTAATCTAAATTCCTACGATCTTTGCATTTGTAGTGGCAACTAGAAACCGTTAACCCATATGCATTTGGTTTGCCAACCATATTTTGTGTTTATAACGCTTGTTACTTTTTCCATTTGTTTTAATAAGTCATTAAATGCTTCTTACACTTACCAGCTGTGCTCTTGCGCTCTCTCTCTCCCCACAGTGGTGCTGTGCGCTATAACTTTACACATGAAATATTACGGGATGAGGAATCCGTCTTCAACGGGGAGCGAGTGCCACGGGAGCGTCGTATATCTGTCATCTGCAGAAATCTCCCTTTGAGCTGACATACCTCTTGGGGGTGCACTCCAGAGACTGATAACTGTAAAAGGTGCAATATGTATGCCAGGGAGGTTATGAGACCTTGTGCCCTGACGTTAAGACATGCACACAACTAGTCCTTATGTGATCATTCTATTTCTGATGTTTTAATTTAATGTTCAATATATATGAAATGTAAAAACAATATTTCTCATACTTGATAAATTAATGTTCACGAGTATGTGATAAAGTAATAGACATGAATTGATCCAGCCCGTCAACCAAACAGTGCCATAAACTATTGTTAACATTGCCTAATTGACTTAGGTGCTGAAAGTTTGGCAGGTAGTACAACAGAGATCTAAACAGCAAAAATGTATTTCAATACTATATTTTTGATAAAATATATTTTTTAATAAAAAAATAATATGTATAAGATCATACATAAAATGCAATTTTTCCCATGTTCCTGAGATTCAATTTTTTTTTGGTCTAAATGTTTGTACTTATAATGGCTTGCTAATTATAACTTCAGTAGGGCTTTAGAGAAGATGTTGCAGAAGCCATATTGCAGAAATGGCCAACTTCGGGCACTCTTAATATTGCATACTTTGATTTTATATCCCATTAAATAGAAAGTTTCCAATCACAGACAGTCCCTGGCTTAAAGCAGGAGTGTGTTCTGAATATTTTGTTCTGCTGTTACAGATGGCCTTTAGATAAAGGAGAAGACCACATCTTAAAAAAGAGACATTCTGAGAGATACCCTATGTCTTTTTTGTGACTGTGCCTAATCATGAGATGTCAGAAACCATTGCTACATTGTTTTACAGGGAGTAAATTTGCCAATTAATTTTGCCAATTAACCTATTAATAAGGTTTTGCATCTATTACAAAAAAGAACTAAACCATAACATGCTATGTGACCCTCTCCCTCATTTTATAATTGTACATTAATATTTTTCCATATGTTGACAAAAAGATTCATTTTATTTTCAATGTTGTTTTACAGAATTGCAACAGAATAAATAAATAATTTATCAGTTTATAAATAAAAAAAACATATAGCATAGCATGGAGAAAACCTGGCAGTGTGTTATGGCTTGCATTGTATAAATATTATCTGTGTCTGATAACGATTCCTTTCAGACTTGCTATTTTTTATATATACATTTAAATCCATTAACCCGTTAACTTGATTTGAGTGACGTCATTAACTCATAGGAGGTTTACTCCGCAAACTCTGAACTGTACTTAACTGAAAATTGAATGAAAATATTTATGCTAAAATAGCATGGAATATAGCTGAGGCGGAGCATTTTTCCAAACCAGCTATTTTTACCACTCAGATTTCAGTTTTATATTATTTGGCGTTTAGCAAATAGACCCCATAGTGTTAGTGTGAAGGTGCAGATTGCCATTGCTAGATGTAATTGTACTTGGGCGTTCTGTATTGGAGTTCTTCACTGAATCACACAGTATTAGTTTGCATCTTACTTCTGTGAACTGGTCATTTAACACATCACTTGCCACGAATCTTGAACTCTTCCATAACTAGAATGTTGTAGACCATTATTCCATTAACAAAATCATTGAAATTAATTTACATTGAGTTTCACCCAGATTGTGCTATACAAAGTCTTTCGAATACCCATGTTGGCTTATCTCAGCGGCACCATGTATTTGGGTTATCTTCTTGTAAAGATGCCTTTGATTTTCTCATGTTTCACTCTCTTTGGGTTACCACCAGTAGGCATTAGGTAAGTTGCATTTGTAAGAACTGTCCCTTTGTTGCTGCCCCAAGACAGTTATTTATCTGTCCGTTACTGTAGATCAGCCTACACAACCACAGGCTGCTGCCGAGAGCTGCTCTACTGTGTGCCACCGATGTCTATCATCCAGAAATGCTACATCTTCATAGTGCGTAGGACGACAGCATGGTCCCCCAAAGATTTTGTCCTCCAACAAGGACGGTTGATCACTTTTCTGCAGTAGACGTGATAGTGTCAGGTCGTGGTTAGTACGTGATCTGGGACATCCGCCACCACAGTACTTGAAAAGGACGGTCTCCTCCGAGTCATACCCCAGCCCTAAGTCGCCAACTTGGAGCAGCAGAGTTTTCAGACGGCATTCCCTCTCGTCAGTGCGCGGTCTGCCCGGTTGAGCCAGCCTCCTCCTTACCCTTGGCTTTGTCCTGTCATCATATAGTGAGGAGATTTCTCCAGCATCTATTACAAAGGAGGGGAAAGGTGGAGAAAGAATGTCATTTTCTTTCAATTTTTTTTTATTTTTTTTACTTTTAAAAATCATAGAAACATAGAATGTGACTGCAGATCAGAACTGTTTGACCCATCTAGTCCGCCCAATTTTCTAAATACTTTCATTAATCCCTGGCCTCATCTTATAGCTAGCCTTATGCCTATCCCACGCATGCTTACACTCCTTTACTGTGTTAACGTCTACCACGTCAGCTGGAAGGCTATTCCATGCATCCACTACCCTCTCAGTAAAGTAATACTTCCTGATATTATTTTTAAACCTTTGTCCCTCTAATTTAAGGCTATGTCCTCTTGTTGTGGTAGTTTTTCTTCTTTTAAATATAGTCTCCTCCTTTACTGTGATAGAAACAGAAAAAAAACAAAGCTTCTCTTTCACGTTTAATTTTAAAACAAATGTGTTTTACAGAGCCTCGAATTGTATCAACCAAAATACTAACAAGATTAAGTTGTAAATTATTGGAAGATGTAAACCTGTGTATTGGTCTATTTCACTTATATTGCTGCAAGCTGTATGGGTTATCATCAGTATTTCCTTTTCTGAATGTTGGCAAAATATTTATATAATAATACTAATATGTATTCATTTTGCAGCAGTAAAAAGCAGACCAGACAAAAGTAGTCAAATAGCAATTAGAAAAGATTTTAACTAAATCGCAATGTATTATTTAATGCTGAGAAATCATTCATGATCCTTTTTATATTGAATAGAAATTAACCCTACAATCCATCGGATTCACAGAGCAGCGTGACGTTACCCAGAGGTACTGTCAAATGATTTTCTGTGAGCGATCTATGGGAATGTTGAATCATCTACACAATGTATTCAGACTGACAGCTCTTCTCTGTTTTTTTTCAGAATGGTCTTCTGAAAGTTTTTTTTTATATAAATTCTGTAGGTTCTGCCACTTGAAATTGTACTGGGGTTTCATGACTCGATTCAGAGGTGAGCTGTCACTACTCAGTTTTTTTTTTAGTTTTTTTTTAACTTTTTCTCTCTATTTAAAAAAATTAAATAAAAAAAGTGTGAAAAATAAAAGTAAATTTAGAAATTCACATCTCATTATCTGCAACTGGATTCCTCCATCTAAGCTCCCTGTCAATCATTGTTAGCTGTGTTCGATGCACCTGGTAGTCGGCATTAGGGACAGCACGCAGAGAAATTAAATCTAGTTTCTATGCCTCCTCCTTGGCAGTGTGTGCTATGCCTGAACTGATCTGAATTGTGAGGTGATTTGCTAAATCTTTATATAAATTTGAAAACAAGAGACCATCACCAGCACAAAACCATAAACTATGGGTGTTTTATTCAATAGCGGAATACACAGAGCAGTGACAGTTCCCCTTTTAATGTGTATACTTCTATTTATATTCTGTCCTATAGTCTGTAAGCTCGTTTGAGCAGGGTCCTCTTCAACCTATTGTTCCTGTAAATTTTCTTGTAATTGTCCTATTTATTGTTACATCCCCCCTCTCAAAATATTGTAAAGCGCTACGGAATCTGTTGGCGCTATATAAATGGCAATAATAATAATAATTTATAAAACCGTATGTCTAACACTACTTTTGACACTTGTTGATAGGCATTTACTTATTATGACAAAAATGTAATTTTTCTATATAGGCAAACACACATGTGCATGGTATCTGAGGGGTTTGGATTTAGGAAGAGCCAAAAGCTCAGTGTAACAGAGATTTATTACTTGCATTCCTCTACATTAGATCAAAGAAAGGTGCGGTCGGGGTCTGCTAGAATTCACCACGTGTTGGATTTGGTCTATATATAAATCACGTGCAAATATTGTGTTTCATCACGGTAGTAGCAGATCTGATTAATAGCCTAAATGCAAAGAGTGTCTTTATACAATTTTAGTTAATTTTAATCCCGGTGAAGAATAATGTCTGTATTTATAATTCTGTATATGTAATATTGTGATTGTAATCCAGTTATCCCACAGAAACTGTTATTTCTATTTTATATTTGTGTGTCCTGACAATCTCCCAATTAATCCCACCTTCAGAACCAAACACCCTCTTTTGGCTGTTAAAATAACCTCCATTCCAAGAGTGGAGTCCATAATGAAGGGGACCATATGTCTGTGTATGTCAGACCTGCACACTTTTATTTTGATATTATTTTTCATGCATAAATTCAAACCAAAAATGCTAAATAAATGTCTAGTTAAACTCTGCACTAGAGGTTCCCAATCTGTTTTAGAGCAAGGTATACTAAAATGGGAGAAGCAAATTAAATCACTTCTTTTTAGCTTCAGCAGCAGTTCATAAATGTTGTATTAACATGATGCCTTATTAGAGAAACATACATACTTCTAGCCAAATTAACTGATTAGTTTTAATTAATTACCAGATGAGAGTGTCAGTATTAATGCAGACACTAATTAAAAACACCATTCTAAGCCCGTGCCTAAGTTTGTGGCACACTTTACGGCAGCTTGTGGTCCACAGTGTGACACGACATTCTCTTTAACACCACTGCTCTATACTGTGTCCCCAAGCACAGACAGAAATACAGCAGGAGTTACGCAGAAGACATTATAACCATAAGGGGTTTTCTTGTATTGTCTACAGACGTGTCACCCCTGCTTTTCATCTACCAATTCTAGTTTCACAGTTGGGTCTGCATTAAAACACATCTTACTTTACGACAGGTAGATCTCTGTAATGCCTATGACCTGAGCATTGCATTTCAATGAGTACCCTCACAGATCTCCCCTAGTTACCCGTAATTTACCTATGTGTGTGCCAGAGTATTAGCTATGTGTAGGGCACGGCGTAAAATTTCTACTTGACCTCTAGCCATTAGCGAGTGCAAATTGACCCACTGACGAGCGTGCCATGGACACTCTAGGCTTGCAGTGGTGAGTAGTTTTTCAAACCTGGCTAGTGGGGTAAGACTTAAAATTTTGAGCCCTACCCTAGGGCATCTCCGTGTTAAGAGTTACTGCTATAGTGCTGACTTTGTTTCCACCGTTATTTGTACAGCTTTACAGCGGGAGTCGTGTATTCATGGATCAGCTTACCGTCAAAGTTGGTATGCATTATGATACACTGCTAGGAACTAATAGTTGTAACTGACCAGGTGCAGACAGTTAAATTTGGCCTATTGGCTCTTGTCTGCTCATTCTAGATTCCTTTAACAGTCTGTTCTGGGCTACCTGTCACTCACCCACTCTCACATCTGATAAGACTCCAGAAAAATGATTTAGAACATGGAAAGCAACATCCTCCTTTCTAGTAGCTTACTCTATAAGACAACATCCAAACGTATAAATGCACCTGGTTCAAATGGGATTTATGGTATTCTTAATAATTCAGGATAAATGAAAAGAACATTCAAAATAAAAAAAAAAAATCATCATTGAACCATAATGAAAGAAACATTATACAGAGTTATTCGCTAAACTGGGAATTGTTGGGAATATTTAAAATGGGGAAAAGATTACCAAAATTACTTTGTATTGTGCAAGCTGTTAGATGCGTGCTTTAATTCTATAATAGTAGTATTTAACCCACAATGATTTAAATTTTATTGGAGGTGTTCAGTATTTTTATAGAATGTGTTTTGTAGACTATAAATGATCTAGAATTCTCAATTGTTAAACTTTATTAAAATCCTTAGGGTGCTATGTATTAAATGGAGCCCCTTACCTTGGTGGAAGCCTATCTTGTTTAGTGCGACCCCATATGCCCTCCTGGTATCAAGTGCCACCAATGCCGCTCTTCCAAGCATTGAAAAAAAAAGGGCTACCCAAAGCTGCTTCTCGCACCTCATCTTGTAGCGTTGCAGCCTTTTCTTAATGTGCATGCCTTTTCTCAAGTCCCCCAAATTTATACCCACTGGTAGGGATGTGTTAACCATCCATATACCAAATGTTTCCATTTCGAACACGTGGTGCGTAGAGTGGAACGTTTGGAAAAACCACAGACGGATATCCTAAATCATTCTGCCCCCACCCATTCACCATCCCCAGAATGTGCACAGTATAGAGCAAAATCTGTATATGCCGTGAGCATATTTCTACATGTTGTATGCATTCTGGATAGTTACAGAACAAAAAAAAAAAAAAAAAATGACCAATTAATTCCAGCTTACATATTTTTTTTTTTTTTAAACTGTTAATTTTCAATCTTAAAAAAAAACTAAAACGTCCAAGAGTTTGATGGATAGTCAAACCATTGAAAGGAAGATCATTTTTGAAGGTTGCTCCAGCTGGGATGGAAAGGCAGTAGAATGATTTACAGGGTTGTGCTGGTTGATTGATTGGGGGACGCACTTTCTACACACCCTAATAGAATTATATCTGTACTGCCAAGGGTTAATTATCTAGTGGGATCAGGACTGAATTCCTGAACTGATTACAGACAGATCTGCAGACTGAATACCTCTAAGAGTGGAAAAGAGTCAGGATTAGGTGTTCATCTCAGTCATGAAAAGAACACAGCACTTTCCGACATTCCCCGACATGCACGAAGCACCCCATATATCTAAGTGAAAGGTCAAATTCGGCGCCCTCTGCATGCTCCCTTCACCAGTCATTGATCAGCGAATACCCGGGTAGACACACTTCTCTCTTGCTCCTTCACATACAGACATGTAGACATCCCCATTACACCTCTCCGACAGACACGCCCAATGTGTGCCTGGAGAAAGATCAGCTTTGAAGGGGTCCAACACACCAATTGTGAATACAATGTGTAAAATACCAGCATATAATAATAGCTTCTAAGTTATGCATGACTTATTGATGTATTCTTTTTTTCTGGTTTAGTTGTGGGGTTAATTTGCTTTGAGATGACTTTGTTAGAGACTTGGTACCCATTTCTTGGCTCTAGAAGAGCACATGGATTGCTTTAAACTGTATAACCAATATATTTTGAGGGATCTGGGTCATCTCTTGATTAACATAAACCATGCTGGTGTTAAAACATTTTAGATAAGCCATTTTTTCACTTAACAAGATAACATGTATTTTTTACTGCAGCCAGACAGAATTCACAATTCTATTAGAATAATAAGGTAGCGTGAATTACTCAGGTCATTATCTAAGACGCAGTGGGGAAAAAATAATTGCCCTTTCACCTAATGATTCTGTTAACTCCAGGTATCAAAATCTACTTTTCAGACTTCCTACACATTGGTACAGAGTATGAAGAAATCCTCCAAACCATGTCCCACAGAAACATCGAGAAGATTTGCTGCACTTTACAAAATTGGTGGTTAAGTCCCAGAATACTTCAGAGATGTAAATTCATTCTGATAATAAAGTAAAGGTTCTGGATACTCCACCACCTTTTGTCCTGAAATCAGGCTTTTGTAAAGCGTGAGTTTATCATTTTCAAAATAAAAATGCGTTCTGACGAAGCTCTTACACAATGCTGATATGTTCTGGAAGACAGGCCCATTACCTACAGTCCACCAATGAATAGATAGGGTAGAAGAGATCAGACCTGTGGTTAGTCTAGGATGCATCCTCACACTCAAGTACATAAGTCTGAAATATGTACATTCTGTACCAATTTGCACTTGGTTGAACATCTTGCACCTGTCCAACTTTAAATGCGAACAGCCATAATTACTCAGCAGCCTATGTTGATAATTATGCATGGCAGAGGACCACGAAAGTTGTAGTTCATTAACGTCTGATTTCCAGGTTGTGCACAACAGCTTTTGAGTGTAGTCTTTTTTTGTAGTGATATAGTGCCCCCATGACAAGTAGAAAAGGAGACCATGGTTGGTACAGAGGGCACAGCCACAGAACTCCTTACGTAGGAGCTTCAAGTCATTTTATTTTATAAAGAAAAAGTGGTTTGAAAACTACTTACATATTTCAGTAAAACTTGAATTGTTTAAAGGATTGATATCATTGCATAATATGAACAACCTTCCTAATTAAGCAAATCTGTTCATCTGCCGTTGATATGTTACATTGGTTCAACAGATTGTGCTATTCTACTGGATGAGATGAGACCGAGAGTTCTACGGGATGGGATGAGTGAGTTCTACTTGATGAGGTGGGTTCTACTGGATGAGATGAGACAGAGGGTTCTAGGGGATGGGACGAGTTGTTGTAATGTCAATCAGCAGTGGCTAAGGCCAGTAAGGTATTGTCATGCATTAAAAAGGGCATTCATTCTTGGGATGAGAATATTATTTTGCCTCTTTATAAATCGCTGACCACATATTAAATATGCTGTGCAATTTTGGGCACCTGTTCTAAAGAAGGATATCATGGCACTAGAAAAAGTGCAGAGATGAGCTACAAAATTGATAAAAGGAATGGAGCATTTTAGTTACGAAGAAAGGTTAAAAATGTAAATCTCTTTAGTTTGGAAAAACGGCACCTCAATGGGGATATGATAACATTATACAAATATATTCAGGACCAGTGCAAACCATTATCTGGAAATCTATTCATAAACAGGACTATACATAAGACACACATTTAGGCTGGAAGAAAGGAGATTTCATCTAAGGCAAAGAAAAGGTTTTTTTTACAGTAAGAGCAATAAGGATATGGAATTCTCTGCCTGAAGAGGTGGTTTTATCAGAGTCCATACAGGTGTTTAAACTGCAATTGGATAAATACTTGCAAAAACATAACATACAGGGATATAATTTCTATTTTGGGGTCAAGAATGAATTTGTTCCTAGTTTGTTGCAAAATTGGAAGCGCTTCAGACTGGGTTTTTTGCCTTCTTTTGGATCAACAGCAAAAACATATGTGAGGAAGGCTGAACTTGATGGACACAAGTCTCTTTTCAGCTATGTAACTATGAAACTCTCTGTACTCTATTTTTAAGCCAATGTTCTACCCAAGAACAAGCATTTTCACCTTGACCAATTTCTTTGAGTTTGAACACTAACCTATCAAACAACTATTAACTAAAAACCACATAATAAAGAAACAAACTTCAAATTTTATTACAACAGTAAAGGGTTTTTTTGGATGCGGGATTTGTTTTGCTTGCAAAAACACAAAAAATAAAAAAAGACACATTACCAAATTCGAGAACTCTAAACAAGACGAGGAATTCAAAATTAAGGAATTAATAACTTGTCACTTGGTAAACGTGGTTTATCTAATGGAATGCCCTTGCGGCCTAAAATATGTAGGCCGCACCAAAAGAAACCTCAACACCAGGAAAGAGGAGCACATTAGAAATATAAATTTAAAAAAAAATAAATAAACATAATAATGACCCAAGCAATCTTCAATTCATGGGCATCTAGAAAGTAACAGGAAATTGGCATGGAGGAGATCTAATTAAGACTTTGTGTCAAAACGAAATGAAGTGGAGATTCAATTTAGGAACATTTATCCCCAGGGTCTAAATGTAGACCTCGAGCTATGCCATTTCATTTAACCTTTTAGAAAAATCATTTGATAATAAAATAATTTTAAATCTCTATTTCTAACCTAAAAGAATGTTTACAAAATATTTTTATACTTTAGATTTTATAAAAAACGTTTGTTATTAACAGCTGAAATCTCATGTAATAATTTCTAATTAGCCTCTAATAAAACTAAAGAAAATAAGAGTCAAAATAAGTAAAAACATAAATACCAGTACAAACTAAGGAGAAATCTTCTCCAATCTTGAAATTTTTTAAATTAAATTTTTTTAAATTTTAATTTCTAAAGGTGAAATATATTTAATACAATACAATCGTGTACTAAAACTCTATATTTATATGTTGTTTTGTCTATTCCCCGATATTTTTTCTATACACCTGTCTTTCCCTTACCCATTCCCACATCACATCACTCCCACATCGCTAAATCCTGGGTCATGTCCATACATGCATATAAGTTCCGGACGATGGGAGTGACGTGATGATTCACGCCTCCACGCAGGACCTAAGCGCAGCGATCACGATCACTAGACGCAAGTGCATCCTAGAGGGAAGAGGGATGCATAAGGAGTGGCGTACATACCGGGGTATGTACCCACTGTGGCCAGCCTCTTCTCCTGGGGGGCCCAGGAGCCGGCCACCTCAGGGCCCACCAAGGTTGGCCCTGGTGTCACCCAGCGGGCAGGCTGGCGCCCGTGCGAGGGAGCACTCTCCCCTGTGTCAATGAGACAGCCACTAGAGACTGGATTAACCCTCAGTGAAACATAGCAGTTTCTCTGAAACTGCTATGTTTTCAGGTGCAGGGTTAAAACTAGAGGGACCTGGCACCCAGACCACTTCATTGAGCTGATGTGACCTGGGTGTCTGTAGTGGTCCTTTAAGTGTATGTGTATCTGCATGCACTGGCGTACATACCGCGGTTGCAGGGGTCGCAGCCCTGCAACCAGGTGCCCGCCACAATGTGTTGCGGTCCCAGCCCGCGCAGAGTAAGCGTGCGCGGGGGGGGGGGCCCACGGATCATCCGGCGTACATTTCCGTCAACCACTAAACCACCAATGAAATTTTAGATTTAAAACATACCTCCTTCTCCCACTAATAAAAGGAAGGGAAACACAGGTGAATACAAATATAGGAGGGACTCATAATTAAAGACACAGATAATTGGATAATTGAAAAATTGAACCACGAATTCGAACTCAAGGGAGGACCCAAGAGACATTTAAAAGGCAGAAGGTACAGAGGATCTAAACACAGCTGACTGGAGAAGCTCCAGGAGGAGTGAAACGCGTATCGACAACCAGGACTTTTTATCTTAATTATTGTATTTCATTTTTATTTACTTTTTAGCATATTTGTATTAATAAATAGATTATATTTTATACTAAGTCCAAAGAAGCCTCAAGTACCTTCATTTGGGGAAGTGCCAACCCCTTTAGAGTGGCACAAAGCCTACCATCCTCAGAGCCAGG